AGTTCACGAAATTTACTCCCTTAATATGTCCATCAATGCCAGGTGCCATGGGGGAATATAGAAAATAAAAAACATACAGTTCCCGCTCCCAGGAAGCTTAACATTCAGCTGGGGAAGAAAGGATTTGCATGAAAAGTTAAATAACAGTGTCACACGCAGTAAGGATGCATGTACCTAAGTAATTATATGAGTAAGCACCAAATAGCCTTGGCAATAAACGCCGTGAGTTCAGAACGAGTCACGGGGAGCTGCAGTAGTCAGGGGAGGCTTCCAGGAGGAAGGGCCGGAGCCCTGCGGCTGGGCGTCCGGCCGGGAGGGGGCGGACGCGGTGAGGAGGTTGTGGGGCTCCGGGGAAGGCGCAGGCGCGAAGCTGCCCACCGCCCACTCCGGGGCCCTGCGCCTCTTACGGTGGGGGGGCGGCGGGGGTGGCCGGCTCCTGCTGCTCGCGCTGTCTGGGAAGGCCTTCTGTTTTGTTTTGTGTGTTTTTTTTTTTAAAGATTTTTATTTATTTATTTTTTTGACAGAGAGACACAGCGAGAGAGGGAACACAAGCAGGGGGAGTGGGAGAGGGAGAAGCAGGCTTCCCACCGAGCAGGGGACCCGATGCGGGGGCTCGATCCCACGACTCCGGAATCATGACCTGGGCCGAAAGCAGACACTTAACGACTGAGCCACCCAGGCGCCCTGGGAAGGCCTTCTGCTCCACAGCCGCCGGACAGCCTCTTCAGTGACGCAGCTCCCCCCTCACCTGCACCCCCCGCCCTGCGCCACCGCGGTGTGCGGGCGCGGCGGTGCCTGGAACAAATCTCGCACGGGAAATGATTTTTTCCGTCTGTTCTCCCCTCTTAGGCCTCCAGCCTGTTGCGGGCAGAGGCGGCCCGAACGTTTCTTCTGGGACCTTGTCACCATCTCGGTGCTTTGTCTCTCCCAGCAGCCCCGCCTGTGCCTCGGACTTCTGGGACACTGGAGTGCTGGAAGCACCTGTAAATGTTTCTCCCTCACATCCTCGCTACCGCACCGCGCCGCGCCCCCAGCCCTTCAAAGATGACCCACAAATATGGGGGTATCAACACTCTAGTCCTCTGAGCCCCAGTTGCCCTCCCTGAGGCTTTGCTTGGTCTCCTTCCATTCCCCCCCGCCAACCTTTTTT